GGAGATTGATAATGAAAGGGCAAAATGATTCCATAAAAAATAAAAGCAAAATCTGCTTCATTCTGTTCAACCATATTTGCATATTCGCCTCAGTGTTCTTGCTTCCACTCATGGAATTGCACTGGTGGTTCATTGCTCTGAATTAAGAGACACTATGACAAACCTATTGATAAACTCTTTTAGTATTTGACTGTTAGTTTTCTTTTATCAATCGCCATTAGCATAATAATGTAAATAATTGATTAATAGCAGGATGTCAATATAAACTTGAGCTATCATTTTAACGAAGTTTTCTTTCCATCATCTAGAGACAATGTGTGTCCCTAATCATATGCTGATATTCCAGGAGAGATTGATCCCAAAACACTGCATCCAGCTAGTAGCTCAGAAATATATTTATTGATTGATTTCATTTAAAGAATTTCTAAATTTCTTCTCAGCCCACAAGGGCTTCCAAGGTCATCAACAAATAAAACCAAATTAAAACAGTATCACAAACACAAACATATTAAAATAATCTTTAAAAACTCACCAATGTAACTTGGAGACACATACACACACATCTTTAATACTGATCATCATGTTCTATTGATGTTTTAGCTTGATAACTGAGGCTCCTTCCATACAGCTGAATAAAATCCCACATTATCAGCTTTGAACCAGAACATATGGCAGTGTGGACTCAAATAACACAGTTCAAAGCAGATATTGTGGGATTTTCTGCCTTGATATTCTCGGATATAAGGTTGTGTGGAAGTACCCTAAGGTAAAAAATAAACTAATTGCCATTATGGTCAGCTGTGGGAGGAGCCATCCCTTAGACCGGAGGTAAGCATCTTGTGACCCTCCAGAAACTATTGAATTGCTATTCCCATTTTCCTTCATCATTGGTTTTGCTAGCTAGCATTAATAAGAATTCAATTACAATGACATCCTGAGAGATGCGAGATGCATGCCCTACTGTGGAACATAGTACCGATACATGATTCATACATGACCAAATGCAACTAGAAGCAAGGTACGACTGGTTTACTACCTTGACACTAATACAGCCATTGTCAGTTGAGTATCATTGAATTGTAGAATCATTGAGTTGGAAGAGACCTCATAGGCCATCCAGTCCAACCCCCTGCCAAGAAGCAGGAAAATCACATTCAAAGCACCCCCGACAGATGGCCATCCAGCCTCTGTTTAAAAGCCTCCAAAGAAGGAACTTCCACCACGGTCCAGGGCAGAGAGTTCCACTGCTGAACAGCTCTCATTATCATTAGCTTCCACTGGATCTCACTAGCCATTCTAAAGCCATGTGCTGGAATGGGACTGAATCAACTCCCTGTTTCTTCCACTACCACTTTGCAATAGTTGTCAGCATAAATACAACTCTCCTTTCTCTTGTTTACCAGTCACTGAGGCCCCTTCTACATAGCTGTATAAAATACACACTGAACTGGATTATATGGCAGTATGGGCTCAGATAACCCAGTTTAAAGAAGATATTGTGGATTATCTACCTTGATATTATGAATTATATGGCTATGTGGAAGGGTCCTGAGTTGTAGCCCTGCCTTATACTGTACCTTCTTGGTCACTGTTACATGCTGGCTCCATATGAACTTGCCAATAACCATTGCTGTCAATACAGTCACGTTGACAGCTTTAATATTGCAATACATTTACAAGTACCAGTGCAAACAGTTTGGCCTAAATCCAAATGCTAGTCTTAACCAGAGCAATTCAATGAATCAATTACTGAATTGTAAATCAGAACTTATATAAATCCTATTGATTCACTGGCTATTCTCTATTTAGTGCTAGCAGTTGGATTCACATCTCTAGGTTGTGATATTGTGCAGTGAATATCACATTTGCTCTAAACCAATCTTTCCTCTTCTTTTTGCCAGCACAATGGTTGATATGAATGGGATTTTAAAATGTATCTAGAACAAATATCTCATTATTCTGTTGTTACTGTTATGGTTTTAACACAGGTTTCTTTTCTTGAATAGATTTGTAGTGGCTGTTTAAAGGAAACATATAAACCTGACCTCAAGTTGTATTTGGATAATATAAGTAACTTTGTAATTGATATCCTATTACTATAATACTAACTAGCATTTGTGTCCCTCCAAAAAGCATAAAAAGCAGACTTTTAAATCTACCCAGAAAATGCCACCCATACAGATGATTGAACATTGTAGCAATGGGTTTTAACAAGATTTTGTTTTCCTTTTGCTGTCGTCTCCTCAGCTTGTATTATTGGAGACCTCCTAAATTGTTTGCTTTAAGGAACAAAATTGGACAGATGTATCATCTGTCATGGGACTTGAACCCACTGCTATCCTTGGAGAATGCTTCTATTAATGGATGAAGATGTCAAACTATGTTACAGCCACATCCACTACGGCATATTTATCACAGTGTCATAGGGTCCCTTAAAAACTGAAGGATTTCAATGTTTATTCACAGTGAAGGCACTTAATTAATGACTAGGCCTAATCACACTGTTTTATTATTTACAGGGATACCAGCATGGCTTAGCTCAACTGATAGGCAAACAAACCATCCTCGTCTCACTTTAATTAATAATTCTAAACCAGGCTCAGAGAGTGGCACTGTCAAGTTGCTCTTCGGTGATTTACAACACCTCCTCTGCTACATTCACATCCCTTGCATGCAAATGAGTAGCCACCTCTGCAAATCTTACCATTTAAAACCCAAGCTGTCATGTTGGTGGCTGCAGTGCCCTTATCTTGCACATGACTTAATGAAGACAAATGTCTGATTTGGCCAAGTTCCTTGGGTCTCTCATAGGCATGCACCTACAAGGGACAACATTTTCAGAATGTGACATGTGCTGAGGAGAAGAATGGTAGGACAAGTCCTTTATTTCCTATTGCCCTGTTCTTAAATTGTCTTGCAGCTATCTTTTCACAGACTGAGTGAATTGAACATATAGAAACATATAACATTGACACATAAATTTATATGGAAGGACAAAGATGAGAAACTGAGAGCTAAAGAACAAGGGAACTGTGAAGGACAATGACTGGTATACTGGAGACTTTTTTTTGCACAAAATTGCTATTTCACAGCCGTTGTATGATTGTAGTGAATAGATATGGGAATGATCATCTTCAATATTGCACCTCTACTCAATAATAATAATAATAATAATAATAATAATAATAATAATAATAATAACAACAACTTTATTTTTATACCCTGCCTCCATCTCCCCGAAGGGACTCGGGGCAGCTTACAAAGGGACATGCCCAACAAAACATGTTAAAATAACATACAAAAACATGCAATATCAGAAATCAATAAACATAAAATCAAACAACATTATAAAAACAATTAAAAGCAATATCATGGCTGAGCAAATAAAGTGCTGGGTTCGGTCCATAAATTACAAAGTGCAATGAATCTGCAACCATGAAGATTCGACAATCTGTGATCCCACAGTTGTACTTCTGCATACCATCATAACTTTACCTTCCCACATTTTTCCTGCTCCATAATTTTTAGAGCCATTTTGTAGTTTCAGCAATGAATAACCAAAAAAGACAAGTATATGGGGGGGGGGGCACATAATAAACTCAGACAGCTCAAGAAAAGCAAGGAGGAGGGAGGAAATGAGAAAGGAGGGGAGGAGGAGAGTCTTGTCCTTACTGCCACTTTACTGCAGACATTCTGGATTAGAAACATAATGATGAGCATATTGTGGAATTATAAACTATTGATGGTGTTTGGCTACTAATAGTGGGAGATAGGTCATCAAGCAAGGTTAGATCAGTTGCATGATATGTAAGGTATCTTGCAATAAAGATCATTACCAAAAGTGATAGTCTACCTTCAATGCCACTTTGCCTGCCTTGTGCAATAAAATCATTAGCATTGTTTTTATTACTATTTTCAGCAGGCAACTGATAAGTAGGCAGGCTCATAGCCAAAAAGAAAATTGCGGGGGGGGGGGGGGGGGGGGGGATTATAGATTTTTACAAATCATGAAGAGCTGTTCCATAACACAAAATAAATTAAATTCAGTGACTCATTCTATATTTTATATAAACTTAATTAGTCAAATTTTAATTTTAGCTACAAAGTTTCAAGTCTAAAAAATGAAAATGAATCTTAATTGTTGATTTTTTTAAAAAGAATACCACAATGCCCATTGGAAATACTTGAAAATTGTGTTAGTAAACTTTGACAGAAATTCGATTCTATCGATAAACTTCAGTGGACACTGAAGAGTGCAAGTCCACTTAGTCTTTCTTGCTCTATTGTGCTACTTATGTATGTTTTCAAATATTTAAGAGCTGAAAACAACCTTTCATTTGTAGCTGTTGACACTGGCAATGTTGCAGATATCTGAAGATGTTTCTTCACATTCGGGAAAAATCTGTGTTATCACAGACAAGATATGTTTCTAGTGCATTTGATGTTTTTTTCCTGTAAGTGCAATATTTTCCCATTTTCTACACCACAGGTCAAACTCTTCAATCAGTGTGTTAGTATCTTGAAGGCATTCATTGTGAAGTTCTGTGCACTTGTTCAAGTTTGATTTTAAATTGCCACAATCAATAGGTGGGAACACTTGCAGTTCCTGAACCTCTTGTAAACCTTTCTTGAAGCTGACTACAGAAAAATTCCAGAAATGGGATGTACACATTTTGCCTGTAACCCCCACCTCTTCTTTTTCTTTTTCTTTTTCTTTTTCTTTTTCTTTTTCTTTTTCTTTTTTTTTTGTTATGATGGGATTGGGATTAGTGCAGAGATATGTAGTATCGAGGATTTGGAATAACCTAGTAAAGTTGTGATGGTGTGACCAATCGGAAAGGACTTGAAGGGACATAAAAATAATAAACCGTAAAAAAAAACCCTCGATTAATTTGTAAAATCTGGTGTCCTGCGGTGAAAACTAAGACTTTCTGTGGAGAATGACAATGTTCCTATTTACTGTGATGCAAAATTTCACCTGTGATCTTTTCTCTTTGCAGATCCATATTCTTTTCAGAGGGCAATTGAAGGCTAAGAACAATTCAAAAAGAGTGAGTCATGACAACCTGAGTAATTCTTCTGTCACAAACTGAGCCCCTTTCTTAATGACATTGTTAAATACTCACAGTTCAGAAGACAGAATGACATTCACCTTCTGTATTACTTTTTGTCTTATGGAATGTTCAAATTAGAAGACATTCGGTTGTAGGTGAGAACTCTTTTCCTGCAACAACCTTTGATTTAAAAGAAAAGAGGCTATCTTGACTTAGGCTCATACCAGTTTCTCTGTTCCCATGTAGTTGAGTCACATGCATTATTTTGTACTTTGCCCTGAAAGAATATTTTACCTTGTTTCTTCTGACATCACATCTTGCCTTTTGGTTCATGGAGCCTATCTACATTTAGTAATGCTTGTGCAATTCTGTCTTCAAAAATTCCATGTGAGCTGACTTGAACTATATATCTGGGAGAAGAGTCATCAATAGGATTTCGTACTATCCTATCACAGATCTACGTTCCCCAGTGGATCAAAATGAAATCAAAATAAAAAAGTATATTTTAGAGTTGGATATATTTCAAATTGCATTTTAAGGGAAAGTATTTTTACAAATACTTGAATATGAAAATAAATGCAATTTTTGTGCAGTATTTTATTTTATTTTTTTAAAAAAAGGTTAAAAGAAATTACCTATAAGTCAATTTGTCAGGACATGATTCAAAGCTGGAAAGAGCAAGCATTTGACTCCTGCCCCTGCCACATACAAAATGCAGCTGCTCGGCTTCTTGCGGGAATTCCGATGAGATGCCACATAACCCCAACCTTACTACAGCTGCATTGGTTATCAATTGAGCACCGGATCACTTTCAAAGTGATGGTACTTACCTTTAAGGCCTTGCATGGTCTGGGGCCGATGTATCTGAGGGACCGCCTTACTCCCTACCAACCCCAGAGATCCCTCCATTCTGAGGACCAAGATCTATTGGAAGTCCCCAGTGTCAAGACCTTGCGTCTAACAGCAACCAGACGCAGAGCCTTCACAGCAGTGGCACCATCACTCTGGAATACTCTGCCACCTGAAGTCCGTGCCTTGCGGGACTTACCAGCTTTCTGCAGGGCATGTAAGACATACCTGTTTTGACAGGCTTTTAATGTTTGATATTGTTGTTTTTAAATTGTTTTAAATTTCTTTTAAAATTTGTTAGATTTTAGCTATTCTTGTAAGCCGCTCTGAGCCCCAGGGGAGTGGCGGCATATAAGTTCAAATAATAAATAAATAAATAAAGCAAGGTTGATATTAACAAATAAACCTGGAGAAGGATAGAAGTCCTGTGAGGAAGTGATAATCAGGAGAATTATTCACAGGAGTTGGAGAAGGCTGTGGGAGAGAATAGAAGCAGAGGAATAAAGAAAAAGTTAGAAAAGGGGCTGGAGGTACATGGGAAAATTAGTAGTATTATTTTCTTTCTCTGTGTGAGTGGGCATAAAGCTGGCTACGTCCATCTGAAGTGTGAGTGCTTTCTAATTGCTAGGAGCTACCAGCAGAAGCTGACACCATTCCAGCCCATTACATCTTAAAGCAGTTGTGTTTTTTAGGCCTGGGTAACAACGCAAAAAATTGTTTCTAAAATCGATTTGTATTTGGGGGGTTTTTGCGTTTCGATATTTAAAATAATTACAAAACTTTCCTTTAAAAAAGTTCAGTATTTACGAAATTTCGTTAATATCAACGAATCGATTTGCATGCGCAAATCACCCCCGGAACTTCGTTATTAAGACGGGGGTCGATTCGTTAAGGTGATAACGAATCGATTCGTTAAAAAAGAAATATTTATCAGAAATATTTAAAAATGGAAAATTAACAAAATGCTTGCCCTGTTGTGGAGCGAACACAGCCACAGGACAGGGACAAACTCACACACACAGGCACACAAGGGTCTTTTCTTTTTTTAGAATATTTTTTGAATTTTTTGAAGAATAAAAGAAATATATTTTTCAGAAATATTTAAAAATGGAAAATTAACAATGCTTGCCCTGTTGTGGAGCGAACACAGCCACAGGACAGGGACAAACTCACACACACAGGCACACAAGGGTCTTTTCTTTTTTTAGAATATTTTTTGAATTTTTTGAAGAATAAAAGAAATATATTTTTCAGAAATATTTAAAAATGGAAAATTAACAATGTTTGCCCTGTTGTGGAGCGAACACAGCCACAGGACAGGGACAAACTCACACACACAGGCACACAAGGGTCTTTTCTTTTTTTAGAATATTTTTTGAATTTTTTGAAGAATAAAAGAAAGATATTTTTCAGAAATATTTGAAAATGGAAAAATAGGGCGAAAACAGGGCAAAGGCAAAGCCTCCCCGCTGCTCCCAGCCCAGGGAATGAATGAATGCAAGCAATGAATGAATGCAAGCAATGAATGAATGCAAGCAATGAATGAATGCAAGCCAAGCCTCCCTCCCGAACCTCCCGTCTCCTCGCCTTCCCCAGCAATGAGCAATGCGGCCACGCGGAGCCGCTTTTAAAGGGCAGCCCGCCCAATCACAATCAGCCACGGTGCTTGGGAGCGCAGGATTGGCTCCCGGCGCACCCAGCATCCTCCATCCCTAAAACGTCATTTCCGAAACGGGCGGAAGCCCGTAAAAAAGATGGAGGATGCCGTTTCGATATTTAAAAACACTTCCGGGTTTGAAAATATGTTTTGTAATCGTTTTGTAATTGCAAAAAATAACGAATATTTAACGAATTACAAAATTAACGAACGAAACCGCCCAGGCCTAGTGTTTTTATAATAATAATAATAATAATAATAATAATAATAATAATAATAATAATGACTTAAGATGCAATGGGCTAGAATGGACTTATGAGTAAACTGGTATATAAATGATGTAGATATACCTTTATTTATCAATTCCTAACTTTGGTAGTCCTACTTCCTCAATGTCTTTTCACCAACTACCAAACTGATATGGAACTGGGAAAAAAGAAGAATGCTGTTATCATTTTGAGAAAAGTAATGGGAAGGTGATTGGCAGCCATTCAAATCTATAAAAGGAAACAGTGGGCCACTATGGTATCAATACCCACAGGGTATTTTTCGGGTTTTAGAATGAGGTCTCTTTGACTTTCACCATTTAGGAAATGACAGGATAATTTTGTCATTATTGTTTTCTTCTAAGCTACATTTTAAAAACTTGGAAGTCAGCTAATGATTTATAGCTCACTCTAGTTCGTTTTAGAAGATTTGAGTCTGTGTTTTGTTGACAAATAGAAAAAAAATCTCATTTTGGTGCCTTTGATAGGGAAGAATATTCCTAAGAAAGAGAGGAACTTAAATGAGCATGGCGAGGGAATAACATATAGTAGTAGAAAACCAGGGCCATTTTAACTATCCCCCTTATGGCTCATTTCCCCACTAGCAGGGATAAGTGTGTTATCCCACTGTAACTCATTATGTTTTCTACCTCCCTCTGTTCCTTTATATTATGACAGTCATTAGTTAGTTCTGTGGAACACTGTTAGACATGAAAATATATTTGCAGAGCGATTTTTAAATTGCCGGGTTGAATTCTCCCTATTCTGTGAGGAAATGCAATACAAAGCAATAAAATATCCTTCTTGTGATGGCAGAACACAAAGGGCCTAGAAACATCCTGGTACATGATACTCTATCAAGGAATTCAAGATATGACCCCCCCCCCCCCGCTTATTTTAAGACTTGTCCCACTGCAAAAACACCTGGGCAATCTTGCTTGTTGAAATACACACCTGGACTGGCCATCTGAAATTTCTTTCCCAGAGAACTTTATATTTTAATGGTTATCCAGAATACCACAATTTTGGTATGTGTGAAGAGAGAATCACATCAGGAAAACAAAACAACAGTCACATCATGATGAAATTGTCTCATTAAAAACAGTTGCCATCCCTGGCCCTGTATTTATTTATCAATTTTCCACAATATAGTGTGTTTCAAGCATTTCAGAAGGCAACATTAACATTCATAATAATAATGCACTTCAATATAACACCAATATGTTAATTTAAATTCCTTTAAGATACATCAGACTTTTAAATAATCATATACAGCTGGTATAAGTGAATATAAAGATGTGAGAACTCAGCAATCATAAAGGATGATTATTATATGCCTCTTATTTGGGGATTATTATGCCTGATATTTGGAGAGGGGGAAATGGCAAATCAGATCTGCTCACAGCACCAGCTTGATTTCTCCTCCCAGTAAATGCTGGTGACATTCGTCGAATGATAGAGTTGGAAGAGACCACAAGGACCATCCAGTGCAACCCTCTCCCATGCAGAAAGCAAGGTTAAGGCTAGTCCTGAAAATAGGAACCCCGGATAAAACAGCCAAGAAAAGCAGCGTCTAGAGGCATTTGTAGGAAGTTAATATGTGTGGCAACTGGAGTCCCATTTAGTGTGTCTAGATACAGTGCCAGGCTGAATACTACTGCCTTCATGATCTATCACATCAAAAGAACGGGATCAACAAGTGGCAGCTGATTTGATTTGTCCTACTGTGTTGGGCGCTGATGTCAGCACACATCTCTGCCCTTGCTTCAGCATAGATTGGAGATTCCCAGTTTAGAACAAATTGTGGTGCACAGGTCTTTAGATCAACACAGTGTGAGAAGTTTAGCTTTCTGAAGTCTCTTGCTACACAGTCACCATGATCTGGCCATATTTTTGGGAGTGGTGTGTAAATGCTGGAGGGGAAACTATGGGAAATATACAAAGTAGCAGCCGCAATAGGAACTTGCCTGTGTATCCAGCATTAGCTGTTAACTCTCAAATAACAGGTATTGTGGATCTGCTTGAGTTTTAGGAGGTTATTCAGAACATATTTTGAAGATTGGATCCAGTACCTGGGATTGCTCCTTCATGCTCTAAACACGATCTTCCTCACCTTCAGTATAAACAAAATTGACATCATTTTAGACAAAAATATCTGCTTCTCTTGGTTTGTTAGTACTTAACTACAGTGCTAAGCAGATCCTGAGGGCAGAAAATTACATCTGAAAAACTTAGGTTAAAATGTACAACTGACGTCTTTTTTTATTCTAGTAAGCAAGAGCTAGCCAATGATAACTTGAGGCGAATCATTGGTACAATTGATTTAAATATTTAAATCAGCAGAGTTAGGCAGGTAAATTTAGTCTATGAGATCAAAGCACAATATACAAGAAGAAAACTGGGGCTCTTCTGGAAAACCACTCTTATGATTGGAGCAACTTGGGGCCCTTCTACACAGCCCTGTATCCCAGAATATCAAGGCAGAAAATCCTACAATATCTGCTGTGAACTGAATTAACTGAATCCATGCTCAGATAATGTGGGATTTTCTGCCCTGATATTCTGAGATATAGGGTGGTGTGGAAAGGCCCTTGGATTAAATCCATGGTTAACAATGACTCCTACAGACAAGACAAATTAGCCATGGCTAGCCCTCGATAAAACATTACATGTGACCCCAATCTTCCAGCACAATTTGGATTTCAGTAATCTATATGTTTTAGAAAAGCATCTTGCATAAGCTTCCTTGGTTCCATATTCATATAAAGGGAAGTGGGAAATAAAGCTAATTTTCCAATTTTCCAAAATTCCCTAAATGTGCTAATAAATAATGTTTGAGGTTCAGCAGAAAGATTCCAACCTAGCTACATTCGTAAGTATCCACTTTCTGTTTTTTATAGCTTCATATGTAAGTCAGCTAGTCTCCCAGACTTCATAAAAATATACTTTGTATTTATATACTAATGCCATCAGGTAAGCAACAAATCTGAACTAATACAGAATTTCATGAATTACATAACTGGAATGTGTGATGTTTTTTCCCCTGTACGAGGCTCCTGCCTGTAAATATGTGCCAAGATGTTTGATGGTCTATTGGATGAACTCAGCAACAGCATCTTTGCCTTATTAAATCTTCTCAGCTCCACTCTCTCCATTCCATTTGTCCACATTTGCTCTTTCTGGAGATATTGACACAGCAAGACAAGTTTTGCTGAAGTTAGTTTCTTACTTTTAATACATTTCAAAGCAGTTTTCAAAAATGCTTGGTCATCAAGCCAACTCCTCCCTTCTCCCTCCCCTCCCCTTGCTATTAGAAAAAGAAATACTTCTGGAACTGAATCTTCTTTGCTCCTTTCAGTTATAGTCATTTGGTTTATAGTGCAATTTGCTGGCTAAGAGCTTTATCTTGGGACAATTTTGAAAACAAACAAGCAAACAAAGAGGCTTTTATCACTGCAATTGTTCTTGGGCACGTCAAAGTCACATCATCATGGGGGCATAGGCTCTTTTTATCAATGCCAAAACCATTTCATTCGTATTAGAATAAAGCTGTTGCTTAAACCAGTTCAGTGCATGTTTGTCCTCATATGTATGTTTAATCTGCTGTTTAAAATGACACGCTGAGCCATTGCATGTCTTTGAAGAATGTCACCTATGGATGCAATCATGCTGAGTAGCTTCATGAAAGGCTTTACTCTGATCCAGGCCCGTAGCCAGGATTTTGTTTCGGGGGGAGCTGAGTTTGATTCGGGGGGGGGGGGGGGGGGGGGTGGGGGGGAGGGGCTGAGTCTGAGTGAAAGAGGGTCTACCCTAGCAAACCTTTTGTATCATTATCCCAATAGCCCCATGCATATGGAATATATTGAGCATGTGGTGATCAGATTATGATATGAATAAACATAACCGTTTAAATAATGTACCAGTAAGGCCTTCTCGTGGACCACCATGAGAATCTTGGGGGGGGGGCTGAAGCCCCCCAAGCCCCCCCCCCCCCCGGCTACATGCCTGCTCTGATCTAATGGGGTCATTGTGAAAGTAACATAGAAGGAAAACAATGTTCCATTGAGCATCTTGAATAGATCTGGCACACAAAAAAAATGCTGTTTCAGATTAAGCAGCAAAAAACACATGGTTTGGGCTACAAGATGCCTAGTAGCCAAAACCATTTTGGCATGTGAAGCAGGAAATACCACAAACACTTCTCCCCATCTTTCTCTGGCATCAAGTAGTCTCCATGTCATAGGGTTTTCATCCTTTCTGAATTTTTACTTGAACTTCAACAGAGCTTTCCAAGATGCAGATTCTTAATTTCCTAATCCTAAAATAATCTTGGAAGTTTAGGTATCTCCTTTAAGGTCCGGACTAAGATTCATAACTGATTCATTGCCCCACTGATATGAAGATCACCACTCACCCTGTAGTGTCTAACAGTAAAAATACAAAAATCACAAGGTAAATAACATTTATTGTCCTTTCAGAATATCCCAAATGTGCTACTGCCGGGAGAGTTGGTCACTTCACTCCATCTCAGGCTGGCAAAACCCTATCCTTCTGATACAGGTTGGTTACATATCCCTCAGCATTCTTGTCCCAGGAGTTCCCCCACCACCACCACCACCCTTGTACATAGGTTGTTTATTATCCCGTCTCTCCATGAATTCTCCCTACAATTAGTTTTACTCCTTTATCTCACCTGGAGTTTTTAAATTATTTTATATACTTGCGGCCTGCTCTTTGTCCTTATGTTCAGTTTTTAGGTTCTATGTATATTGTTTATATGCTTTGATGTTTTATACTTTAATGTTATGTTGTTTATTTTATTGTCATTTTGTATTTTTTTTTGTATTGTAATCTGTTGTTCGGGCTTGGCCCCATGTAAGCCACTCCGAGTCCCCGTTGGGGGAGATGGTGGCAGGGTATAAATAAAGTTTATTGTTATTATTATATTACATGTTATTTACTGTTCTCTCAGTAAAGATCCCTTCATTAGGAGAAATCTCCCTCTCTGCATACCACTGAATGCTCATTTCTGTCTGCAGAGTGAATTCCTCTAGTCCAGGCTTTGTACACCATATTGCTTTCCAGATGTTTTGCACTATGAACTTGAACTCTCAACATGGTGGGAGCTGTAGAACAAGACATCTGGGAGGTTCTGAATCTGGAAAGACCACTCTACTTTGGCTTGTGAGGCAGCATTAATTTATTTGGCTTGTGATGCAGTATTACTATTGAATTTATATAGAACATACATTTATTTTAAGCACTGCACGTATCTTGAAAAATAAGATGATTTGAATTGTGTTAGTTAGACATCACTAGAATATACCCATTCAATCAAATGGTGAAGAGGTAAATCCAACTGACCACAGTAGTGGAATGTGGAATTTTTATTGAAAGATGTGGTTCTCTTCTCTATTTAGAAAGAGAGATGTTGGGTCTTTTGCCATTCATCAGGTAATCCAGATTCTGTCTGGTGTAAAGTTATCACCTTTAGGACATCCAAAATGTCCAATTTAAAATGAAGAAAACCAGACAGACAAAACTAACATCAGCATTCCACTCGCACATTTTTAAATGCTAGAATCTGGGAGTATTTGAAAGATAAGCAGAAAGATTGAAACATTTGTTAAAACTCCAAATATATTCAGCTATTGCTTTCATCATATTACATCATATGTAAGGCATCATACATTAATCTTATTAGATTACTATGTAATTCAATATATGGCAAATAAAGTATTACACTTATTAAAAGACTACACCTTTATCTCTTTGGATTTTTAGTAGGCTTCTTCACAGTTAATACACAGAGGAACATTTGCATTCAAAACAATTTAACACAGTTATATATCCATTTGGGAATACAATCTCATCTTTTGAAGAGCTACACATCTCTAAACAGGCATCCAAGGATAGCATCCTTGTGCATTGTTAAATCTAACAGCAAGTGTTACCTGTCCATAATAGGCATCCATTACAATAATAATGGGCAATATATATTTTTTAGCTTTGCCTTTTTGTTTCTCTTACCATCAGTATTTATCACATGTCAGGACAGTTTACCAGGAATAGTCTAGCTTGAAGGCTACATTGAGCTCTTCTCATATGTTGCAGACTGCAAAGTAGTTTGAGTTCTCTCTTTTCTTGACTTCTTTTATTCTCTTTCTAGTCTCTGCTTAGCCTATCAGCCATCCTGTTTGGTCCAATCAAAACAAAGGTGTGGACACCCTATGTGTTATTCAATCAAAACAGAGATTTTAGATGTGATATAAGTTGGAGTCTTTGGCTTTTTCAATATCAGAAGCGACTTGAGAAACTGCAAATTGTTTCTGGTGTGAGAGAATTGGCTGTCCGCAAGGATGTTGCCCTTGTTTTTGCTGTTTTACCATCCTTGTGAGAGGTTTCTCTCATGTCCCTGCATAGGGAGCTGGAGCTGACAGAGGGAGCTCATCCGTGCTCTCTCTGGATTTGAACTTTTGACCTGTTGGCTGCCTACCATCCTGATTGCAATTAGCCAGTGTACCTTCTAGGAGGTTGATTAGTGGTCAAATCTGCATATACCTCAGTGTTCATATACATTCACATTTTTCAAAATTTTGTCAACAACTGAGAAGACATTCTGTTGGCAACTTGGCTGTTGCTAGGCTAGTAACATACAGATTCTTGAATACACAGTGCTTTATATCTTATACTCTATCTATATGGTATACTGTGTATTCCATAGGCATATTCCCAACCTCAAAATTCCTCAGTTCTAAACTAAGATCCATCCTCCAGGAAATAAAGCCCGACTGCTCACTGGAGGGAAAGATACTAGAGACAAAGTTGAAGTACTTTGGCCACATCATGAGGAGACAGGAAAGCCTAGAGAAGACAATTATGCTGGGGAAAGTGGAAGGCAAAAGGAAGAGGGGCCGACCAAGGGCAAGATGGATGGATGGCATCCTTGAAGTGACTGGACTGACCTTGAGGGAGCTGGGGGTGGTAACGGCCGACAGGGAGCTCTGGCGTAGGCTGGTCCATGAGGTCACAAAGAGTCGGAGACGACTGAACGAATGAACAACAACAACAACAAACTAAGATGTATCTACTCTTCACGCAAGGCTCAGGAGAAGGAGCTGAACTCTATGAACTCATGTTTATGTGCCACCTAACATTTTTAAAATATAGAAATGTTTTGATCCATACATTTTCTCCAGATAGGGATGGAATTGCGGCAGAGGTAGATCAGAAATAAAAAAGGAAATATGAATTATCCTTGGAAAAATGATAGCATGGTATGTAAACACTGTTGCAATGATCTGAAGCCCTGATTTAGCAACCTTACTGAGAATGCAGCACTTGCCACAAAATGGAAGAGACTATCTGCAGTGTTTGGCTGATTCCCAGTGCTAAATGAATAATAGCAGGGAACTTATGTTGTGTCTATTTTCATGCGAGTATGATTAAGTAACCTAGAAAAAAAGGTTATTATAAATATTATTGAATGATCTGAAAAAATAACTCTTGTACATTAACATTCCAAAGCACAGAAAATTAATATGGCTATTAAATCCTGTCAAATGAGTTCCAGCATCCAGCAATAAAATAAAATAAAATGTTTTCCCTCCCTTGGTCACATTTGTCATACTGAGAGACTGCTGCTAGGGAGTTAAATAAAGATGTTTCTGTAAATATGTTTGAAAGTCTATGCGAACATATTTTTGAGGGCAGTTGTCCCAAATGTTCTAGGTCTGGCATATAACAAAGCCAGTATGCTGCATGTATAAGCTAGGCTATTCATTAACTGCTGGATTTAGATCCCATCTTTCTTCAGAACTGAACTCATGATAGGTTAAAACAATTATTAAAATGATAAAAACAACACAGATACTATCAAAATAACAAACAAACAACAAAGGTTAACACTAAAGAAGAATCTTAGGAGAATTAACATTAAATAATACCATTAATGACATACTTTGTGTGGCACCAATATGATGATGATGATGATGATGATGGTGATGATAATATACTACTACTACTACTTATTATTATTATTATTATTATTATTATTATTATTATTATTATTACTACTTTATTTGTAACCTGCCCTATCTCCTCGGGGGAACTCAGGGCAGTTTCCAGGCATAATATGTCAAACATTCAATGCCATAATAAACAAGCAAACCAAATCAAAACAATAAATAAAAAAGCATCAATATAAACATATGACTAACTGAACAAATAAGTTATTAAAAACAAATAAGCCTCACCATACACATTTACATCACAATAAGATGTAAAAAATTAAAGTGCCTTAAAAGAATTAAATGATTATGAGGATGTTATATAAAATAATGAAGTAAAAGAGCACCAGGTTGGGTTTCCAGTATCCAAACAAGGTTATATATTGAGATGTTCTAGTCCTCCTCCTCTCCATAGACTAAGACACAAATATGAGTTTTTAAGAGATTTTTTAAAAAGGAGAGGAGACATTTTTCCTTCTTTGGGGTGGGGGTTCCAGAGGCAGGGGGTGATTACAGAGAAAGCCCTCTCTCTCGTCCGCACCAGCCATGCTTGAGACGGGGATAGGCCCAAGAGCCTATGTTGCTTTATATGCAGAGATGCAGTTAGTTAAACAGCCTGATGAGAGAATCATAACATTACAGGGACTCCAAGAGCACGATGGTACCAGGTGGATTTGTCTTGAGTGAGAGTTTCATCATTTGGTTTCCATCATCACCCTCTTAATTAATGGATATCTAAGATAAGATGGGGTTCATGTTAGACCTGTGCGATCAATGAAAAAAGTTTCGATACTCATTACTAAATTAAGGGGGCATGGAGAATACTTTCTAATGTGTACCATAACTATAACAATATAATGAATTATTTGTTACTTTTTGTTAAGTAATTGTGCGTTCGGGGGTGGTGGTGGTGTACAACCCCTTTTATTCTGCCAGGCAGGAAAAGCAGAGTCAAATGACCCCCAAAAGATGCCCATCTAGCCTTTGAAATAATAATAATAACAATAGTAATAGGAAATCTACTAAGTAAACTTTGGAGTTACTAGTTATCTTCCGTTGCACCTTTGGTGAGTAGGTATACAATCTCACATTATTGCTTAACCTCAACGTTCTGTCATTGGAATATACACCCCCCCCCCCTTTGTGGGAAAGCTTGATGCCACAACCCCCGCTATAATGAGCCCTCCTCCGCAAATAACCTGCTTTCCTTTTATCTCGCCTGAGTTTTTAATTAGTTTTTCTTTTAATCATTACATGTAGCCCTTCCATTGTAACTGTGTTTATGCTTATTGTAATTTTATATTGTTATATATTCACATGTTTTATGTAATTATGATGTTGTTGTTTATTGTTCACATTTTTGGTTTGCGTTTTCGGTTTTACTTTGTAATTTGTTGTTTGGACTTGACCTCATGTAAGCCGCTCCGAGTTCCCATCGGTGAGATGGTAGTGGGGTATAAATAAAGATTATTATTATTATTATTATTATTATTATTTATATGGAGGCTTCTGTAGATGCTTCAGCTCTGATCATGGAGCAACTGCTTACACACTTTTAAAGTAGGTTTTCATGAAA